TCCACTTAATACTTAATGTACTTAATTTTTAATACATATAACTTTGTTATATGTAGAACTTGTAAGTAGAACTGTACTTAGATTTTTCACTATTTATTAGAAAATGACTGATAATACTCCTACAATAACATAATTTTATATGCCAAATTTAATTATTTATTGCTTCCAATGTTTTTTTGTATGGTTTTATATACCTATTTATAGTATCATATTATCTATGTAATAAGAAAATATACACACAAGTCATTTCATCTTCATATTCGTTAGTATGTCAAAAGCATAAATTTGGAACGGATTTAATAGATCTGCTTTTTATATCATTTACAAAAATTTTGTAACATAACACAACACAAATATATAAATATAATAATTAAAATCACATACTCAAAAATGCGCTCTAAAAAGTATTAGAACAAAAACGATAAATGTAATAATGTTATTTTAATATAACATCTTTTTGACATAAAAACATTGTTATACTAATATTTTCTATATATGTGCTTATGTAAATTTAAGAAAATATTGTATAAATGACAATCAAATCAAATTAAATGTTTTACATGCAGATGAAATGACTTTGCTCAGAAATTACCGAGATCTTGAAGATATAAAATATCCAAGATATTTTTAAAAAGATATCTGAAAGATATCTGAAAGTTGTCTAAAAGATATCTAAAAAGATTTTATTAAAAATCTTTGTAGCATTTCTAATCTTTAGATAAAAGATGTAGTATTATGACATTTTTTTCAATTTTCTTTGCTATTTATAACTTCATTGTAGCATTGATATGAAAACTGACATATTACAAATTATTTGAGAATAGTGATGATTTTATGAAAAAATATTAATCTTATTGTTTTAAAACTTAGTTTCTGGATCTATTTTAGCTTTTATTAAATAATTAATTTTTATAAATAATGAAATATTTTATTAAATATTTTACTAAAAGTTATTTGAATTTTTGGTTTGTCATATTAAATCGACCAAATTAAATTATAAAATTCTGACTTCTAATCATAAACAGTGATTTAAAAAATGCTTGGATACAAAAGTTTTAAAAAAATCGTTAAAAAAAGTTATAAAAAATCTCATAAAAATTCGTGATACAAAAAGATTAAGATATTACTTTATTATTACTTAAAATGGTCTTGAAATAAGAATTGATTTATATGAATACTAAGATATTTTTTAAGAGAGATTATTTAGATATCTTTGATATTTCTAATATTAAATATTTTAAAGATATTTTAGAAATATCTTAAAGAGATTTTTGATGAGATATTTTTTAAATGTCTTCAAGGCCTCAATATCTTCTGGGTAATGTCAGATGTAGTAAGCAACAGCTAATTTATAACTGAATAGAATATACACAGTATTATATGAATATATTATCATACTGCGCATAGATTTCTATAACGCTTCTACTAATGGATAAAAGTGTATTTTATCTGCTGATAAATCAATGAAATTCTTATATTGAGAAATCAGATTAAAGATTTTTTTGGCATGTTTTTTATATATAAGATATATATAAGATTTTTATATAATATTTTTCAGTATTATATGCGTATAGTAGCGATAGTATTCCTGTACTATTCTAATCATTTTTTATGCTTGTCTGTTAATGTAAAAATTTTGTAATTATTATACAAACTTACAGTTAATTATTTTTACTTAAATCATTGAAAATTTGAAGATATTACAGCATTCCATTTCAATCTTATAAATATTAGACGAGTTTATGTAAAAGATTTGTTGCAGTTAATCAGCAACATAAAAAAAAGATCTAGATGATGAATTTATATTAAAGAATTTAAGAATATATTTCTTCTGTTTACTTGTCACATATTCAGTAAAATGCGTGAGAGAGAGAGAGAGAGAGAGAGAGAGAGAGAGAGAGAGAGAGAG